AAAAAAAAAAAAAAAAAAAAAAGACAAGAGACCACTCTTCTGGACTAGTCTCCTGCACAGACCAGGCTAAAAATAAAACTGTGGTCGTACACAAGGTGACATGTCACCAAACTGAAAGTAAGCAGATTTCTCTGACCTACTGAGAAATCAGGAGAGAGACAACAGCCAAATTTCCCAAGTAGGTCTGTTTCAACTGGTAACATAATGGATTTCCCTCTGCTTTAATCTTTACAAGGAAAGGTAATCTGATGTGACCTGATGTTAACCAATCAGCTGTTCTTTTTCTATTCTGTCTCCTGGCCCTGTCTTAATAAGGAAACTAACCTTCAATGACCTCTCTGCTTCTTGATCCCTGTTTATGCCTTCAAACCTTCTCCAGAAAACCAACTTTTTTCTCTGTTCTGCTCTAGAAATATTTATCCTATTTTATAGAATTAAGCGTTGCCCAATTGTAGAATTGAAAGTAAAGCCAATTTAAGGCATTAAATGAAACCGCTGGATTTGATTTTTGACATCTTTTAAACCTAAAACACACTGAATGCACTTTCTCAGATTTGTTTAACCTTTGGGTCCTTGGCTTCTGGGAGCTGTTAATCAATCTGAAAAGGACAGGGCCCTCGTAAACAGCGCCTGCAGCATAGAAAACCTCTGTGAAGTGCTTGAAGGCAGAGAGGTCTCGCTTTTAGAGGGACCTGTGGTAAGGACACATAAAACTTTCTCTTTAATTACTTCATGGCCTTACTCTAGCAAACGTGATAAGATTCAAGCAATTCTTTTTATTTTTTTTCTTTTATTAAGACCAGGATTGCAATTTTATAGATCATTCCCTTTATTGTAATGCTTTCAGATCATTCCCTTGGATTTTCTACAGTTAGCAAACATTTGATTAAGAAAGCAATGCACAATGCTACAGTCTAAAAGGCAGTTCAAAACAAGCAGGAAGCTCTGATAAGCTTTTATTTATAGTACCAGTATTCATCAGGAAATACGATACTGAGGTAAGCTTTCTTAAATATATTTCTAAATGTGATGTGGTAACCTGGATTAGATCCTGGAATAGTAAAAGGACACTGGTGAGAAACCAGCAAAATCAAATAAAGCCTGCGATTTAGTTAATATGATTGTGTCAACGTTAATTTCTTAGTTTTGACAAATGTCAAGATTAGAGAAAGATGGGAGAGTCTTAAATAGAATCCCTCTGAATTATATCTTTCTGGCTTTTCTGATACACGAACTATTTCACCAGAGATTAAGTTATAGGAACGTCTCCTCCATAGGAAATAACGGGAGTTACAGTGAAGGAAGCACGGTTAGCCACGTCACCTTACCAGTTATCTTCAGCCACTTAGAAACCACTTTTCCAGTGACACATTCACCTACTAAAGAGCATGACAGTTCCGGGGATGCCACCAGCTTTAGATGACTTCAGGAATTTCACGCTTTAGGAGCTAAGAGCTGTTCACCTCTGGCTGAAAAATTATTCTTGCTTCCTTTGTAACCCAGAAACCACTTCACTAACTTTACAAAAACAGTGACATCGGTCAGACTCATGTAATCCAGACAGCACACATGAATGCTGTACTGACATTTTCCTAGTTACAGATTAGAATCCTAATGCAATAACGGAAGCCAGGCAGAGGAGACACGTGAATCTAAACGGGATGAAATCACTTCTTTTTGATTTTAAGGAAAACTTATTAGAGTCATCAAGTATGACTATTCCATCTTGAAAAGCTAACATAAAGATGTTCTTCCCCACCCAGGGAACAAGATCCTTCCAAGTTCTTGGATGAAACGTGAAAAGAGAGGGAGGCTAACCCCTGTCATTCTCATGCACGTCACTGTGGTGTCCACTTCACGTACACAAACAGCTGTCACTATGTGAGTCTCTTGGGATACAATCTGCTTTTTTTTCCCACTTAGTCTTTCTAACACTTACAAGATGATGTCTAGTTGAACAAAGCAAACTGTAAATTTTTCCCTGCTCTTTTATCTTATCACTAGGCACATCAAACACCAAAGGTGACTGACTGACTCCGTGTCATAAAAACAAAAGATAGACAAGAAAGATGACACATTTGAAGCTAAGAAACAGCCAAGTTTTTTGGGTTAGGAAGAAATAATTATATAAAACATTTTAGAGAATCTGAGATTAACATTAGAAATTTACCTTAAGGAGAAGATAAAATAAATAATCAATGTAAAATAAGATATATTCTCCATGGTATTTGAAATTTTATCTTTAACACACATACACAAATATAGTTTTCAAATATTCTCTACTAAGTTTCTATAAGATGTCCTCCTTATATAAAATGCTTATTATGGTTTGGGTCTAAAATGGCTCTCAAAGGCCAACTAATGAGATTTTGAGAAGAGAGTGAATCGTGAGGGCACTACCCTTAGCAACAGATGAAATTACCGATGGATTCCTAGCTGATTGGGCTGTCAGGAAGTGGGGCCATCTTGGAGGAAGGAGACCCTGGGGGCCTGCCTTAGAGGGCTGTAATCACTTTTACTCCACCACGCCTTCCACCATGTCCTGCCGCCATGACCGTGTTTCTGCCTCACCTCAGACCCAGAAACAGTGGAGCCAGCTAACCACGAAACCTCTGAAACTATGAGCCAAAATAAGTCATTCCCGCTCTGAGTTATTTTCCCCAAGTATTTCGTCACATCCACAGAAAGCTGATGAACATACTGTTATGAGAATGCGACACAAGCTAATTTTAACAGTTTGCCCCCACCTTTCCTTGTCCCTTTCTCCTCCCATTTTCTTCCATGATACAGTATTTACTGAACGTTTCGTGTCTCTGAGGAATTAATTAGATCTCAAGCTGCTTAACGGAGGCAATTCACTTCCTGTCAGTACAGACTTCATTCTAATATTTTAATTGATAACATCGATGAAGAGACAATAACAAGTCAATAGAAGACGTGGCAAAAAACTTTAGGCATCCTGCATTTTCCATGGAAGTCAATGCTAACCAGTTGACTCTTGCTTATTTTCCCCTCTTCAAATAGCTGAAATGTTTAAATGTTTACCTGAATATACTCCGTAAGAGTGTTAAAGACTTGTTTTGCTACTTGGATAGCTTTGGAGAAGTTCCGCTGTCCTTGTTCATCAATAACATCTTTCCCAGAGTAGTACCAATAGAAATCACTAATTGATTCCTGGAAAAAAAAAAAAAAGGGAGATGACAGTAGCATAAAGTTATCACTCATCTGCCCAGTCGTGGACTCTAGAAAGAAAAGTATTTTAAATAAGAGACATGATAATGAACAAAATCATCTGTGAAATAAATACCACTTGTTAACAATTTTCCTAAACATACAATACAGAAACCTCCTTCACAGGTATAACTTGAAAGAACTTGAAAGAAGACAAGCAGCAGAGAATTAAGCTTTAAAATGTACTTTGTCTCTAGATGACTTTGACTTCACAAACATAAAGATTCATCAAGACTAATGTATATTTCTCCGATGCACAGCTAGATGTTTAGAATGTGAGCTTAAAAATTAGACATCATGGGACAGCACGTTTTTGGTTACAGACATCCACCCTTGTTTTTCTCTAATAAAGTCAGCAACATTTCAGCCAGGATATTCCCTGACTTTACAGTTGCTCCTGCAGACAGGGGTTGGACAGCGTATAAACACTAACAACTGTGAGTGAACACCTAAATGCGATCAGTCTTTGCAAACAGACTACTTTCAACATTCGCTTACAGTTTGAAGTGATCTTCACTGGTTAAATGAATAACACAATTTAGCTGAATATGAAGAACTGAATTTTCAGATATTATTTCTAAAATCACATATATGTTCTCAGCAACACTGCTTGAAGGATTTTCTTAAAAGTAAACTTTCCCCTCTGTTAAGCTCTTAAGCCTTTGTTTTTGTTCGGTATGGGGACTGAACTCATGACTTTGTGCTTGTGAGGCAGGCGTGGTGCCACTGAGCTAAATCCTCGGCCCTTTAAACCTCTTTTTTAAATTAGTGCCTTTATATTCTCAAAGATTAAGGGGGAAAAATGAAAGACTGAATGTGTAGTATTTGTAATTAAAAAATTGTACCTGGCCTCTTTTATAAGTAAAACAAGAGAAATAAAATTTGTATGGGGATCTCATCATTTAAGAGGCCTATCAATCCAGATTCTGTTTAGCTAACACAAGAGATATTTTTTAACTAATGAGGTGTTGAGGTGACTATGAAACCAATGCATATCAGAATATTTCCAATATTTCCCCCAATTTATTTATCAACTATGGAAGGAGGAACACAATCTAAAAGTGCTATAAAAACAAAAATAAATCTAAAATACCATCAAGTTTAAAAATAGAGGAGAAAAAAATCTTAAAACCATAATGTTAAGTGAAATAAATCTGATGCACTTGGTTTTTAAGTAACATGCAAAATAAAAGAAGTAGGGAGATGGATGTTTTCTTCGAATAGGAAATGGATCAAGAGATGGATGGGTAACAGATAGTGTGAAATAGGAAGAAAAGGTCCAAAGAAGAAGGGGAAGGGGGATCGTGAGGGGTAGAGTAAAGGAAAAAAGGGAAAGAAAAACACGAGAACAAGATAAAAGGGATACAAAGACTTTGTAAATAGCAAGAGGTGGAGGAGTTGAATCGGGAGGGCAAGGGAATGGGGAAAACAATAAGAACCAAGATGCATCATGTAAAGGTACAAACTCCCAGTGATGAATGTGATCATACTGTACACCAAAAACGTACCAATAAACCTAATGAATAAAAGAAAAAGAGATGGAGGGAAGGAGGAAGAAGGGGGAAGGAGATGAAAACAGAATTGAGACACGGTACATACATGCACCGACTTCACAAAGAATATAATTATCATATACTGCAAACATGACCTAACAGAAAAAACAAAAACTGAAAAAAACCCTACGCATAGGAACAAATAAAAGAGCAAAAGTAGCAACCAGGATTAGAGGCACAGACAGTAACAGGAGTCTTGCCCCAAGATGACTGGACAGACTGTGAATAAAGACAAAATATCTCAAAAATTATACCAAGTCATAAACACAAACACATTAAAGCAAGGTGTCAGTTGAATGACACTGCCACACTGTCTCAACTGCCCCCCCTGGGGTTTGTGAGGACACACAAGCCAACTCACCTGCACTCTCAGCAGGTAGTCCACAGTAGAGATGATGATATTGACCGTCATGTTATTGCCAGTCTGAGTTCTCAGATAATTTTGAAAATCTACGAAAGACAGTAAGATGTTCTTAAGGCTCACTCAAAAATCTGATATAAGTTGACTTGAATAATTCTGAAAATGTGTGATGATGTCTGACCACAAAATCACTGTAGCTAGGGACAAAGTTTTACCTTGATAGTTTTAATATGAAACAGCTGACATTTTCAATGGTGAAAAGTGAATGATATACCCCCTAAAGCACACACAGGTATTCACAGGATACTAATGTTTGGTGTTTGTTTTCTGTTTTAGAGCTGGAGACTGAACTGAAGGAATGCTGTGCTACTACAACCCCAGCCCTTCTTAGTTTGTTAACAGGCTCTCACTACGTTACCCAGACTGGTCTCAAACTTGGGATCTTTCTGTCTCATGCTCCCAAGTAAAGAAGATTATGATGTGGGGTTGTGTGCTGCTTATTATTTCTTTATTCCTGGTTCTAGGGCTCTACAAGCCTTGCAGAGAGCCAGAGCAGCCAGATGTATAAACAGTGAATGGAAGCACATTAAATAATACAATGAAGTGTACTCCCGAGGTAACGAGAAAGTTACGAAAGACAGAAACTTCAACACTACTCTAAATATCTGTGTGTCTTTTCCATTTCTCACCCGTCTTCTCTAACATAAGAACTGGTAAGAACCAAATGAAGCAGCTATGCAAAAACTCCGGAAGCAGCAAAATCACGTGTAAAATGGGTTGGTGCCCACCGTACACAAAATACCGTTAAAGGACTATTTCCTGACGCAAGAACTAAAGCATCACTGGCACTGAGAGGCGCTCGCTGTCACTGGCTGCAAACATTCATTCCTTGGTACCATCATCCGGGGTCGGGCTCACGAACCTGAGTTGTGACCCTCACAGAGCAGCTGCAGGAACCGGAAGAGGTCACAGGTGAACTCATCATCCTGCAAAACCTTCTCTCCTGCGGGAAGCACAGAGGGGTGAACACGACCACCAGTTAGGCCCCGCCCATTTATCCCTGCCTCCATCCCCTGCAGGCCCACGGAGCCGCTAGCATCGTTCTGCACCCAGAGCAGTCACAAGTCATAACCGCTTTTCTATCTGAAGCTCCTGAGAGCATGCGCTTGGCAGATCGATGTACTTTTTCTTTGTAAGAAAAGAACATTTGAATCGTAAAACTCAGCTTTCTCTCTGTTAAAAGTAGCAGCATGGGTATGGCAACATTTTACAAATGACCTGGAGGTTTAAACTGTTCTGTCTTCCCTTTTTTCTTGTTTTGGGAAAGATGTGTATGGAAATAATCTGTGCATCTCTTATAAATGTTAAACTTGCTTTCTTCCCAGGGGATGACCAAACGAATCAATACAAATCCTTTAATGCATCCATAAAAGAGCGCCAACGGGTGCCTTTATGAAACAATAATTAAAGGATTCTCATGAAATGGTAGGGCCCTAGGAAATGTTTATTAATTCACTATTCATCAGCTTGTCTGCTGGCTAAAAAAAAAGTAAAGAACTCAGAAGTCTAAGATAACAACAAGACTTCTGGAATATTTACAGAGGAGGGGGAGCTACCAGGCAGACTTTCTTCTAAAATAACAAACCAAAAGAAAAACTTTGATGGCTTTGCTGTGACAGCTAAACTTAAAAAAAAAAAAAAAAAAAGTTAAAAGAAGGATAGTCTATTGTCAGGAAAGCCGCCCTGCTTGTCAAAAGCTAAAAATATTTGAGGGGCACAGATGAAGTATCAGCAAAGGGATTGAGTGATTCACCTACATTCCAATTTCACTGCAATTTGACCACAATTGACTTTGAAAGCAAAAACACAAGGAAAGAAACAAACACAAAACAGCACGACACAAATGAAAGTTGATTTTTTGGAAAAGTGTCAGTGAAAACAAAACTTCAATGTTATGAGTGTCTGCTCTGGAATTTAAATGTGTTTAGAAAGCAAAATAACCAAAACAATGCCAGTTAGCCATAGAATGAATACGCATATGTTTTGTTTTGTTTTTTTTTTACAAAAAATAACTTTTCACAGACTGATAATACTTTGGGCTAAGAAAGAAAACTATGGAATGGTCATGTGTTTACTTTAACTAAAATGATGGATGATCATAATGACAGAGAGCTGATGGACTTACCAGTCCGCAGTCTGTGACTTTCAAAGTGAGAGGCTTCATATAATGGTAGGGTTAGGAAGCAAAACCATTTTGATAACTAATATAAACATTAAAAAAAGTACATAAAATCACTGTACTCATTTCCCTGTTAGCCCACAAGATACGCTATTTGGTGACCAGGCTACCATCACCAAGTATACAAATCAGACACAGTGGCAAGTTCAAGGGTAAAAGGTACAATTGTTTTGCATCTCTGTACATGGCTGATAAGTCCATTCCTCAGTGGTTAAATTCATGACAGGATAAGAAAGAAATGGAGAAAAGTTTAGGCTGATAAGCAGATTAAACTCTTCATTGATGGCAGTATCATTTTCATGAGCCATTAAAATCAGAAGACTGTGTTAAAATGATATTTAAGTCAAAATATAATTACCTAATTATACTGAATTATTGATTCTTTCCCTGTGAGCTCACCCACAATGTATTTTCCAGAAAATTGAATCATGTTTATATATATCCAATGTTTACCTATATCCAATGTGAAATAACTTTTGTAGAAGCATTCAGAAAAATTAACAATGAGAGAAATATACAGTCTACCCGTGTGCCTAACAATGCTCTGCATGATACAAAATGATTTTTAACACAAGGTTTTATTTATTATGGGCACACACAGTATTATCTTGAATGTAAATTGAAACATACAAGGAACTTCACTTTCATAGACACATTGCACACAGCAGAACAATAAGGAGGGAAGGTCGGGAAGGGGCTCAGTCCAGCCTTCATTTACCATCGGGGGACAGCAGGTGTGAACTGAGAGCCGAGTGCTTAACGAACACATTATCATCAGATTAAAATGCTGCCATTGCCCATGCTGCAAGGAAGTGGTCCAGTAACAGAGATGGAGGATGGCTTTATGTCTGCACAAGGTACAGGAGCAACGGTCTACTTTGTGATGTATGCAACAGAAATTCCACTGGGAGATGGGAACTAAGATTAATAACAAATAACGAAATGGAGTATCGTGTAGTTGAAAGTGCTCTTACACTCTTAAAGTATTATTTGTAATAGTTGCATGAGATATCTCATACTGGAAAATGGGAAATTATTTCAATATTGTAGCTTATGATGAATGCATTCTTTGAGCTTTGATTCTCTCTTCTATAAATGAGGATAACGTGTACCCTGCAACTGGCTCTTCATAATCAGTGGTATAAATTGTGAAAAGGCTAATATATTAGAGGCAGTGACAATAACACTAAAAAATGCCTAGCTTATAAATATAACTATCTAACTGGATTGTGTTTATATTTTCCGAAAAACACCTGAGTTTTAATGAAAAAAAACATGCACGAATTATAAATTTCCACTTGGAAATAGTGCTTGGTAGATCTTATTTAAGCTAACTACGAAAGAGTAAGCCCCAGTTTAGAGATCTAATAAAGTTAACACACTTTTAAAGGCCACTATTCTACTCACAACTGGTTTGTCTAACGAGAAAATTATACAAGTATCTGCTTAATTTCAACAACACATTTGGGTGTGTGTGTACAGGGATTATTCGGAAAACACTCATGAACATAGTTTGAAGTTTTCAGCCTATTCTCCAGATAAAGCTTTGTTCAATCTCTAATGATTACTGTTGGGTATTAATTGTCAACACTTACTAATAAAAATTTAAGGCATAAATAATATTACCTGGTATGCACTTTTAAAAATGATAAAGATCACTCGGGATTTAGCTCAGTGGTGCCACTGCCTGCCTCACAAGTGCAAGGTCCTGAGTTTGACACCCCCACCCCGCTACCAAATAAATAAGTGAATAAATAAGATAAAGATTATAAGGCTAATTACTGTTTTCCTTATTGGGAGGTCTTGTCATGTCAGTATCTCTAATAACGCAGAGATAAAAGGGTGAGTGCATAAAACGTAACACTGGCTACGCCAAAGAATGCCCTATGATTTATTGTTAAATATGACTCAAATTGTACCACTGTTGTAGAGATCATTCTGACTAATGATCTTTAAAGGATACAAACTATCTATTTTGAGCAACAGCAAAACCAAAGAACTCTAAAGATGTTTTTAAATAATGTAAAGTCAGGTAGTTTGTTGCCCGGTGGGTAGTTTTAAAATCACTATTTAAATGGTTGAATTCTTTAATTATATCACAATTCAACTAACACAGACAAAATTTTTAGAGCAGACTCAAAGCATCCAGGGGTTACAATGAGCTATTGTACTGCATATATCACCGCTGCTTTGGGGGTTTACAATAATCCTGCAAATTGGGTAAATATAATCCCATTTTGTGGTACAGGACACAAGGGGGAAATTAAGTAACTCAATTAATGACATACAGCTCTTCACTGGTAAAGGAGTTGATTCTAGCGAACGTCAATAAGCTTTCACTGCATCTCCTCGGTGCCAGCAGCTTATGCAGTGAACAGTCTCTAACCTACCGAAGTTCCAGACCAATGGGAGAGAAAGGCAGGAAGGAAATAATTTCCGTATTATGTGGTCTTTCTAAATCTGGTAGGCCATAGTTCTAAACTTTGTAAAGTTAGTATCAATAAGCAATAAAATATTTGATCAAAATCATTATATGCTCTATATGTTCTTTAAATTGTAAACTCATACTTGTTTATAGCAATTTTAGAAAGAAAAAAAATTAAATATACATAAGGAAGTCAGTCCAACTCTCTGAGCCTTGGTTTCATCATTTTGGCAGTTAATAAAGTTCTGACCTCCTTACTTCATAAACTGTAGTATCATATAAGTTCAAACAGATCTGCAAAGCACAAAAGAAATAAGTGTAAAGTTCCTTTGCTGTGAAGTCATAGGTCAAATGACCTAAATTTTTAAAAGGTACTGTTTCAAGAGGTTGTTGGTAAGGCAACCTGTAAATTCCAGGGTGCAATTATTTAAATATAATTAACAGCTGAGCATGGTGGCACACGCCTATAATCCCAGCACTCAGGAGGCTGAGGCAGGAGGATCGCTGTGAGTTTGAGACCAGCCTGGGCTACATAGTGAGTTCCAGGGCAGTCTCAACTATATAGTAAGACCTTGTCTCAAAAACAAAAACAAAAACAAATGAATAAATAAATATAATTAACAACCTGACACACTGTAAACAATGCATTTCTACTTCAGATCCCAAGACAAATGAAATGACCACTATGTGATATAAATTAGGCATGTTCCACGTACAAAATGATTAAAGTGTCTTCTATGACTTAAATTAATTAAAGCACCTATCGAGGAAAAGTCCCTCTGCTTTCCAAAGTGACTTGCAGATTGCTTTTCTTACAGCTGGAGTGTGCATCTCTCAGCTTCCATTACTCTCTGGTCCTCACTACCCTCCACTCTTGCATGCATCACCAGCATCCTAAGTGACTTTCTTGCCTTTAGGCTATGAAACTGGCTTCCTCACAGCTTCCCTACTGCCATGGAGGCAATAGTGTTGGTCACTCTCGTTGTAGGACTCAAGTTTTCTTTATTGCAGGGGCATTACAGAGAAATGAGAAAGCTATGCATTTTCATGTTAGTGTAGTCTATCAAAGACATTCTTCCAACAGCAGAGGTTAGGACATTAATTCCAGGTGGATTGTTTAACCCATACATAATATCACTTGAATGTTACTTATTTAAGGACTTGCCATGGTCCCAGAGAAAAAGTATAAAATTCTTGGCAGGACAGAGAGAGTCCCTTGTGGCCTCTCACCAACTATCTTTCTACCTTCTAGTCTGATCTCCTTTCAACTACACCACGTTAATGACTGTTCTCTGCCATGCTTTCTATCCTGAACTTTTGCACCTGCTTCTTCTTGCCATTAGAAAGTCTTTGCTTTTCTTATCTACCAGAGAGATGTGCACCTAATTCAGGTCAAAAGTTACCACTACTATGCTGTGCTAGGCACACTTCTGGCAGTTAAATGCTCCCACACATGTAGTTCTATGTGTGTAAGAGCACAATGCTCCATGTGAGAGAACTTGCACACATAGAGCATTGTTGTCAAGTTTGGTGTTTACTAATCTATCTACATACCGCTAAGCTCCAAAGGCACTGCCAATGCCAAGGACATAATCCATCCCATACTAGCTACTCAGAGTTCAATGAGTGTGTTAAAGTTTAAAATTTGTGTCAAGCTATTTAGAAAACTTATTTGGTGCCAGTATCCAATATCACAGACATTCTTTAAAGAGTTTACACATAACAGTAGACTACACTTGTGAAAGTATTCTGAAAAATTTGGGGGGAAAGATAGCCAATCGATAACATAGCAATAAAAGCTATAACAAGAAGTTAGGGTGGCCAATATTTAAGGATGAATTAAAATTTAATCTTTGTTTCAATTTCATGTAGATTTGATGAAGTCACTATACATATATCGATAAGAACCTTGGCATAACACATCATCAGATATAGATGGAAATTTGGGGAAGGTTGACTTGTAGTTAAGGCTTTAGATAAGATTTTAAAAATCAGATCAATTTATGGATTCAGATCAACTTTAAGAATTTATCTTGCCCATGGAATCTAGGACTGCCACTAAATGATCAAAAAGAAAATGTAATATCTATATTCTAAGAATTGTGAGAGAAGGAAAAGTTGCACTTTCAAGTTCATAATGATCTGGTAATGAGGTTAACTAAATGGTTCTAATAAAAACAAATTAAAAGTCCAAGGGTGGAATGAAATTTTAACTATTCATATAGGTCACTGAACTTCACTGTATCATTTTTAAAAGCCCTACACGAATATAAGCTATATAGAGAGGACAACACTGAGCGCAACACAAATCCAACAAACACCTTTGCTGAAGAAACTTTTTTTTTTAAACAAGTGGAGGTCCGGGCCTTTGTTGAAAGGGGGACAATTTACTGAGGAGGGACAGAGACACAGGCAGAACTTACATGCTAATAACAGGAGTAGAAAAAAGAATATAAATCATTTGTCTGAAATTTTTATACACATGCCTTAAGGAAACACAAATATATAGTTCCTAATGGTATCTCAATACCAGATTATGAAAAGCATTGTAATCGTAAAAAGTTCAAAAGTGATTTTGAAACTTCAATAGTACGTGCAAAAATCGGCAACAGATTGGGATCCTGGAAGGGTGCAAAGAACAATCAATCAAAGGGCAAAAAGTACTATCCACAAAGCTGGACATAAAACCAAGCCCCGAGGAATATGAAAAAATGCGGGAAAAGTGACTGGGATCAGGAACTCAGCAAACCAAACAGTGAGAGGCTGGATATGTACATGTATCCACCTTGGCCCTGCCACTGAGCCGTGTGATACAGGACAAGCCAGGTGACCTCAATCTCCTTATCTACAAAATCCAGGCTACAGCCAACTCATGGGATGGTTGTGGTGATCGAAAATTTTCCTATACTCAAGCTTATACATTTTCTATGACTATGCAGTTGCCATATCATCCTCATGAGAAAGAGATTTAGCCTAATAAAGATAGTGGGTAGGGACGGAGATTGAGATCTACCAAATTATTGACTCCATGCTAAACCTATGCTATCAAGCCTGTGAAGCAAGTATCTGTATTAGTCACAAATATAGGGTCTTCATTCTTTTCCATGCCTTACAAGGAAGATGATGAGTTTTCTTTGTCCTGTGAGAACATGAGCTTCTCTTAATTTTCATAGAATTTTAAGCAAAAGAATGAACTCATAACCAAACATCTTAAAACATGCCTAAAGAGTGTCAGCACAGGTGCTTTTAGAGCAAAGTGAGAAATGGTATAATATTAATAGAGCTAATGAGTTACTTTGCTTGTTCTCCTAATGCGTCTCCTGATTAAGCTCAGTGCCTACATTCAGAAAGCACAATTTAATCTTGAAGGTCTCGACATACTAGACCCCATTAAAAAATCTCATCCCTTCTTTACTATCACTGCCTGGTGCATGTCGGAGAAGCGACTTGGAAACATGAATGAAATTTTTGGCTACCATATTAATTTAAGGAGTTCAGAGCGGCTACTGTTTCCGGTTGTTTGGATTTACTCTCAAGAATGAAGATTAGCTTCTATGCTGAAGCATTGTCGATGTGCGATGTTTTCAAAAGAATAGAGAAAAACCTTGGAGAGACAGAGGAAGACCAATATGTGGAAGGCAGCTAGAAGAGCACACTTAGCTGGGGACGGGTCACTTTGGCCTGGCACTGATTGCCATGCGCCTCAGTACAGCCATAAAGCCACATAAAGACAGATGCACCACAGGTGGACAAAACACACATTCTAGGCTCTCTTCATTCACACAGCAACTGCAAATGCTGGGACCACCAGGAACTTTTGTAAATCAGAGAAACACAGCAACATAATCCACAAATGTAATTTAAATACCTGTGGCCCCTTCGTATCTAATATATTAACAACTGTACATCTTCACAGAAAGCAAAAGAGCAGGGAAAAGCTAGCTATGTAAATGTAAAAACACAGGATGCATAATGATAAAAATTAAATGATCTACTTATTAAAACAGACGACAAAAGGAAAAACAAAGCACAAAAACTATCACTACAGAGTCTATACACAAAGCTAACCACAAAAAAGAGCAAATAAACAAAAGGCAGTTCACTTTTAATAATTACCGCGCTCATGAGTGATGACTGAGAAAGGACAGTACATTTAAGGTAGTCGAAAGAAAAGGAAACGGGAAAAAGAAAGAAGTTGAGATTTTGCTTTCGCTTTTCTGTTTGTAAGGAAATAAAATACAAAATGTGTCAAGCATTTTGGGTAATTATTTTTATGTGTATCAAAAGAGAATACACAAATTAAAGTAACAACATCCTATCGAGAGACGTAAATAATTTTCACATTAAAATGGTCCTTCTTCAAAACATTGTTTCCGATTTGTGAGTCAAAAAATCATTATCCCAATGGATATCTGGGCCAACAAAGGCTAAAAGGTTGGCTATTATTTCTTTGAGGAAACTGATAGTAACAATGTTTGAGAACTAGTACTGGGAATTTGTTCAGACGCTTGGAACATTAGGTAATAAGTATAGGGAAAAATGAAACAGATTTCTAGTTCTAAGACAGGGAAGTCAGATTCTAGACACAGAATTCATTCAGTCTTAGGCATTTTACAGCTAGAAAAGTCCTGGATTCCAGAAAGGGAAAAGCCAACGAGTTGACTTGTCCTAAGGTCTGTAGTGGTCATGGGCTCTCCAGACGGAGCCTTACTTTAGGCAAGATAACCTAAGAGAGTTCAGAGTGGTACTGGTGATTTTTCTTGGACTTAGTTCACTTGCTTAAGGAAGCATATGAACTGTATTTGATGACTGTACCTATGTATTCAAATGTCACCCAAAAAATAAAGTCATACAGGAGTCACGTATAGGTTACAGCACATATAAGTGATACATTTTAAAATACAATAAGGAATAAGCAGTTCTTTTTTCTATTTGTGAAAATAACAATACACAGATAAAAAGATTACTCAATTCTAAAAATTTTCAGAAGAGCCAGCAAAGATTAAAAAAGAGAAAATTTATTTTTTGAAATAAGTTCAGTCTAATAAAGCACCTAATGTTCCAAAACTATTTTACTGACTGACAAAATGACAAGTCCAAATCAGACGAAACAAAATAAATGAACAAATGGGCCTCACTAAAACTAGTTTTAAAAAAATCAGACATGAGAGTAAAACTAATTACAACAAAAAATATTGAAGATAATTTTTTCCTAATAAATATCCCTAAAATGAATAAGGAACATTAATTCTGCTTTTCATATAGTATGTGCTTAACTTCCTAGTTTATACCCACATCTGTGTACAGAGAGGAAAATTCTAAGATGGTATGAATCATTATTTTTGCACACATGTAAACAAAGCAATCCAAATTATTTAAAAACAAAAAAAACTTTTCTAACTTTTTTCATCCAATAATCTGAACAGGCAAAGACATTAGATATGTAAGTGAGAAGCAGAGTTTAGAAAGGTAGGAGGTAGGACTAGTGGTGAGTTGTTACTACCTCAGAAGAGAAAAATCTGAGCCTGAAGTTTTACAAAAGTAGCCAAAGAAAGTCAAACACTCTTTACTTTGGTCCATTTTTGTGCCATGTGTCATCCCTGTTTTTTGTTTTTTTGGTACCGGGCATCGAACTCCGGACCTTGAGCTTGTGGGGAAGGCGGCAGAACCACTGAGCGAAATCCCCAGCCCTGTGCCATATGATTTAACATATACTTCTCTAATAAGGGGACTTCATCTCTTATTAGACCTTTAACTCTTTTTAAAAATCCAACTAGGGAAAAGAATGACGAAAGTATGGCTGAGACAAAAAAAAGAAAAAAAGCCAATGGCTAAAGTAGAATATTAGTTTTTGGGTGTGACCTGGGTAATGTTCAGCTGTGAACTTTCAAGTGGCCCTAAATTTATCAATTTTAAAACAAACTTGAATGGCCCTGCTTGAAAAGGTAACTAACAATGCACTTCTTTCAGGGAAGAAGGCTGCAGGGATCCTTTTAACGTAAGTGATTAATACCTGATCCTTCCTCTGTCACCATCCCAAGTCCTTCAGCTTTGTTCTGCCGCTCAAATGCATTTAGGTCAAGGACACTGCAATAACAAGGAGGAAAAATAAGGTTTTATAGGATCAATAGGATGATTTCTTTGTGCAGAAGAGCAAACGTCTAAACACCGTGTGTCTGAAAATGTGAGCACCATGTCGGCGTACATTAAAACCATGGCCCAATCCCATGTTTCCGGACTGCAACAGTTTCCTTATAGTAGATCAGCCTCTTCTCAGGGGCTACACTGAAAATATCCACGTCGAAGTCAAATGCAAAGTTCACACGTTTTAGCTTGGGAAGACACACCAAAGTCAGAGATAGGCAGAAATATAATTATAGCAATCTTGTTCCTGCAGTTGAAAAAGCTTATTCCACTAAGTCTGTATCATGTTCCTTAGTGGCATGCTACCTGAGTGACTTTAAATACTGAAAAATGAAAATGATGGTCACAAATTAGTAGTTACCAACTGCTTCTCAGAAAAAATGAGAAATGCCTTACAAGGTCCCAACTAAAACTCAATAGAACTTTCTTTTGTTCTTCTTTAAATTCATGTATGCAGAATATATATCCTAACTCTGCAAGGTCCTGATTTAGCCACAGGGAGAACTATTTTCAGGATATTAACAACACTAAATTGGTAATCAGAGTATCACTACATGTTAAAAACAAGAGAGGAAACAAGACATTGCCCATTGTCCCATTTTAAAGTGTTTTTCACGATCAAAAATCTTTGTATAAAGAAGATGTGATTTTTCTATAAAAAGGAGTACTATTCAGCCATAAAGAATGAGAAAATAGAAACATTTATAGCTGAATGGATGCACATTGAGGCCATACTCTTAAGTGAAATAAATAGGACACACTTGAGTAAATACCAAATCGTTTCTCTGGTTTGAGAAACTAAAGGTGTAGATAAGGTTCAAATGGTACAACTGGGAGGGTAAAATAGGAAGAAAAAGACTAAAGGGGAAGTGGGAAGGGGAGGGGAAAGGAAATAAGGGAGAAGTAAAAGTGTGGGAAAAAATGAAAAAATGGAAACAAAGTCTTAGTAAATACGGAAGGGTGAAGGGGGTGAAGGGAGGGCAGGGAGATGGGGAAAAAACAAGAACCAAGACACATCATGTGAAGGTACAGGATCCCAGTAATAAATGTAACTGCATTGTTTGCTTTAAATGCACCAATAAACTTAATGGAAAAAAAAATTGTCCACAGTGTTGAGCAAATCCTTTGAAATCTACAGAAGGCACAGCAGGGCCTTACCTGCAGGACTGCATCAGGCCAGCCAGGCTCTGGAAGAAACCCACATCCTTCTTCTCCTTGAGGTAATCAAGCATTTTCTGCAGAAACAGATGAGCCAGCCACATGGACAATTAACACAATTTTTTGTTAAATAATATATAACCAAAACATATTACTTTGGAGCAAAGGTAAAAATAATACCCAGAGTATACAAATGCTATTAATGTTATCCTAAGCATGAAGGAGCAACAAGCACGTCTAAGCAAAACCGCCTGCACATTTCTAGGTGCAGTAATAAAATGTAACTGGAACGAGGGAGCTGTTTTCACATCACCGTGAGCACCATAAATATGGGGGAGGGGAACCAGGAATTATTTTCCTGTCTCTCCTTAAGCCTTTAGAGATGTAGGCACTTGTGCAAGTAAAGAGGAGGCAGGTCCACTGGCTGCCATCCACAGATTTCCAGGTAGAAGGTGAGCCCTTAAATAGCATTACAGGATGAGAGTCGAGACTATTCTATGCAGATGTGATAGCCAGGTACTCGGTTTCTGCTATCATAGTCTCTAAATCTAAAGGATGGTAAGAGTCAGTGTTCTATGAAATTTTTCTCCTCTTCTCTCAGGGTGGTGCCCAGAATCTGTAATTAATATTTTGGTTAAACTCCAACATAAAATAATGCTAAAGCCACACATAGCTCTATTATGTTTTTTCAGCTTTAGGATAGTGCAACTATGATATATATTTTGTACAAATCAAGCTTTGAGTTTTGGATTTGATCCTTTTCTGAGCTGGCAATACACAAATGAGACTATCTCCTGATGCTGTGTCTCAGCAGTGAGTCACATGTCTATCAGCCACATGATCCCAAGGGGAAACAACCCATACACTATAGTGTGGGATGCTGCTAAGCTATGATGTTCTACAGCAGAGGTATAACAGATGCATTTTCACTCAGTATGTTTCAATTATGAGTTATCAGACACAACCACAATGAAACTCTAGGAGTATCTGTACATAGAGGATAACAGAGCAAAGGCTTGAAGGAAATAAAGATTCTACTTTCCCAATTTGTGTTTGTGTATGTGGGGGGTACTGGGGATTGAAGTCAGGGCCTGCACACTGAGCTGTGTTTCCAGACTTTTTTTATTTTTTATTTTGAGGCAGAGTCTCATTGTCTCAGGCTGAGCTAGAACTTTTAATCCTCCTGCCTCAGCATCCCAGATTGCTGAGAATTCAGATGCAAGTCACCATGCCCAGCTTCTCCTTATCTTTATTGGAGGAGAATAATTCCAATTATCAGTGCAATTCTAATTAGGGCTCAGCTAAGCAACCTAAAAATATTTTAGTAACATTTTTCAGAAATCAGAGGCAAATGTAATATAAACTATATAAAGGCTATACATGGTATATAAACACATATATAGTCACATATAGAGTTTATGTATGTATATACACACATGTACATATTTGTACCCATATATACAAAGACATAAAGTACATGGCCATTTGGGAGGGTGATAACTTGTCTACGAAAAAATGAAGGACATTAACTGTTGATTTTTTTTAAGAAAAATCATGTAATCACTATAGAAATAGAATAATCTGACCACTCTGCCAGTTTCCAAAGGCACACCTCCTTAGTTTGATATACGGATGGTCAGAGAGTGTTTCGTACTTCAATACAAGAACCATTTGTAAATGTTCCACATCACTGGTCATTCAAGAGATGCAGATGAAAACAACATTGAGATTCCACCTCACCCCACAAAGAATGGCTGCTAAAAAGAAATCACTCAATAACAAATGTTGGCAGGGTTGTGGGGAGAAAAGAACCCTTCTCCATTGTTGGTAGGAGTGCAGACTGGTGCAACCACTATGGAAATCAATATGGAGATACCTCAAACAACTAGGATTGGAAATCCCATTTGACCTAGCTATTATTCCCCTGCTGGTTATCTTTCCAGAAGAATTAAAAGAATCATACCAGAGTGATATATGCACACCCATGTTTATAGCAGCACAGTTTGTAATAGCTAAAACTTGGAAACAGCCTCTTTGCCCATCAGTTGGAGACTGGATAAAAAAGATGTGTTTTTCTATAAAATGGAATACTACTCAGCCATAAAGAATGAGACATTAGATTCATTCACCGAAAAATGGATACATTTTGAGGCTATACTCCTAAGTGAAATAAATAAGTCACACATGTGTAAATACCGAATAGTTTCTCTGGTGTGAATAAACTATAATAGTACATAAGATCCTAGTGAGATAACTGTCATTGTGAAATGGGAAGAAAAGGGCTAAAGGTATAGGGAAAGTGGGAAGGATAGGGGAAAGGTAATAAGGGAAAAATATAATAAAATGAAACAATGGAAATAAAGTGTTTGTAAATGGGGAGGAGAGGGTGTCTGGATAAAAAAGATGTGTTTTTCTATAAAATGGAATACTACTCAGCCATAAAGAATGAGACATTAGATTCATTCACCGAAAAATGGATACATTTTGAGGCTATACTCCTAAGTGAAATAAATAAGTCACACATGTGTAAATACCGAATAGTTTCTCTGGTGTGAATAAACTATAATAGTACATAAGATCCTAGTGAGATAACTGTCATTGTGAAATGGGAAGAAAAGGGCTAAAGGTATAGGGAAAGTGGGAAGGATAGGGGAAAGGTAATAAGGGAAAAATATAATAAAATGAAACAATGGAAATAAAGTGTTTGTAAATGGGGAGAGGAGGAGGAGGTGAAGGGAGGGCAGGGACAAGGGGAAAAAATGAGAACCAAGACCTGTCATGTAAAGGTACAAGATCCCAATGATGAATGTAACTGTGCTGTATACCTAAAATGTACCAATAAACTCAATGAAGAAAAAAAAAAAAGAACCATTTGTCACAGTAAAAGATCACATTTAGATTAATGTTTTGAATGTTTGGAAACCATTTTCTGCTCTGGCTTCTAAAGCTAGCCCACAGTTACTTTTTCCTTCCCTTGTTCTCTCTAGGTAATAGTGGTAAATGAAACAGAGACATATTTTACGTAAAGAAAAAAATTTGCAGTTCTTTTCCTATTTGTTTGAAAGGTACATTGTGCAAATTTCTTAAAGGTATTACCTGCTGTACTGTAGAATTTCCACCATTTAAAATAGCAATTCCAAGTTTCAAAGTAGCAGCTACCATTGGTCCAGTTTCACCTTCAAAATATTAAAAAATAGCATTCCTCAAAGGTGTATTTTAAAATTATTATTACCTACTATAATTCTGTGTAATTGTGGAGATAGACCGACTTATGTACCAAAACTACTAAAACAATAACTATGCATATTTTGCCATCAACAACCTTACTATAGTCTGTAAAATATATTCAAGATTTTAAACTACATGAAGACAGAAAAATAGGAAGAACAACTGATTTTGAAATGCTGAGACCTAAAATTATTAAGATTCAAAAGTACCCATATTTATTAAAATAATACTAAAATAAATATTGACTACTTCAAACTTTCTTCAAGGAAAACTTCTCTGCCTCATTGGACAATATTGTATTTTAAATCATCACTTTTAATAGGTGGGTAGTTTGGCTTTATTAGGATGACTATACTCAACATTAAGTTATTCAGATAATGACATTTTAAAATCTAACCATCTGTGTGTCATTTAGTATACTATGTTTTATTTTACAATATTCATCTCTACTTCGAAATAATTCCCGTACTTTAGGAGAAGGGGACTTAATAACAGAGTGTACCAATTTTACTTTTTCAATTCACCAAAAATGACATTAAAATATTTTCATAAAGAAGGTATTATTAATGTAGGAAAAATCATCTTGAAATGGCTACCTACTGAAACAGGTACTGTACCTTAATTGTTAAAAAAAAAAGACTCACTCAAAATGGCTAAACATTTAAATCAAGGGTCAGGAAATGGCTGGAGGGCAAACACAGCTTGCTACTTGTGTGTGTAAATAAAGTTTTATTGGAACACAGCCATACTGTTTCCTTCTTTCCTCTGCCTGTTTTCACGTGCTGATGGTAGAAATGAAGAGTAGCAAGAGATCACAAGACCCAACAAACTGAAAGTAAACACTGTGGACTTACAAAGGAAGCTTTCAACTCCTGATTTATATGGTCAGTCTGCTAAAGTTTACTCACAGCAAAGTTTCCAAAACTTAAAGAATATGCGTGAAATAAGTCTTTTTAATAGGAGTAAGAGAACTAGCACTGGATTCTGCAGGTGACGACATTTGTGGTATTTAAGAGTTATCTGAAACAATGGTGGGCCAGAAATTCAGGGACAATAGAATCAGCAGGATTGACACCAGGAACAGCTTACAAGCAAGGAGGGGATCTACCAAAGGACCCTTCTGAGGAACACGGCCTCACCTTTGCTGGCGCTGATGGTCTGCAGCACCATCTCCGCAGCCCCTCGGTCATGCAGCCTGGCTTGCTGGTACAGAAGCTTTTGCTTTTCCATTTCTTTTTCCTGAACACAAATCCCAACCATTTATGTTGTGGAGATCAGTAAGCACATCATCTCACCATGTTTTTAGTCATCTCTTCATGTATGGGCTCTATGACAACATTATGGACCATTTCAACACCGACAATTGTTATCAAACAGTCATGTATTCAACTCTTCCATTTTTTTTCCTTTATATTTTTCTTGACAGATTTTTGGTACTGGTTTATCAGGATGGATTTTTTTTCTCAATTGAAATTGATTAGTCCAAAGCCTATTATCAGTTTTGCTCTTCATCAATGAAATGTGCACTTTCCGATTTGTACATCTGTGCATAAGTTGGTCACATTTTTGATAATCTCCCATGTCATGGCCATAACTTGATACTGCTCAGCAAGTTATCACTGAATCACAGAAAAACATGAACTGAAATGTCTTGGAGTTTAAGCAAAAGTGAAAACTCAAATGGATTAAAAAGGTAGGCTTCAACTGAATAGTGGACTCATGATACAGATCTCCCCAGTCACCCCCAAAGAATAAGAGAAGCCATGTGCCTTTATATTTTGTATTCTCTGGTGGTTACAAACAAGGCTGCATGGTGCCACTAAGAGCAATGGCTGGAGTTTGTTCTTTTCCACTTAAGCTACCACTGCAAACATAAAGAAGGAAATAAAAATAAAATATAAAGGCACAGCAAGTTCAAGACTCACTGGAGCAATCCAGTTCGCTAGAGAATTGAGACGGAACTAAGCAGTATAAGTTGCAGAACGAAAGTTGCATAGAGCCCTATGATAGCGCGTCCATCAAATGGCGTGGTAGGGAAGCTGAGTCAATGGGACATGAAACGCTCAATTAGTATCATGTCCGTTAACACAACGGCCAAAACGTGTATGACCTAAGAGCAGTAGGAGCTGCAGCAGAGGTAGCCAGAGAGACAGCTTTGCTGCCGTAAACTTTCCATCCAAAGTACGGAAATAGACACTGGAAGATGGAAGAGGTTTAAAAAATGAAGGCTTGCTAGTTACAGAATATGAAAAATAAAGTAAACTAAAAGGAGGGGGGAAAGAAATGGGCTAAAACAAATGAAAAAAGAAACCTTTAAATCAAAAGCAACCAACACAGACATTTATGCTGTTACCAGAGAGTTCTCGCCGAGGCTGGCAAATTTGTTTCTTAAATCTTTGATAATATCGTGCTGCGAAAACAAAATTGATCAGGGTTTTTTTTTTTTTCACACTATAGTATAAGCTCCTGTGGCTAAATTTTATTTTTTCTTAAATTATGTGATAGGCCTAAATGGAAGCAGAAAAAGAAAAGAAGAGGCAGCTTTGCTTCATAGTAGCCATGCTAACATCTAAAAGGTTTGCCTTCATGTTTAAACCTCTTCCTGTGAAGTCAAAAACAAAACGAAAACAGAACCACACAGACACACAAAATCATACTGTTGGTACAACACGGTTTCAGAAGAACTGAAAGAAGGCCCTTTTGTCTGCTCTTCAGGTGCTACTTAAAATTGATGAGCAACATTTGATTCTTCCTTTTAGACCCAACAATCTTTTACTTTCCTTCCATCACCAGAACTAAAAATGGAGCTTTCGCATACAGTTTAACCAACTCCTTTTATGAAAAGAGTTTTTTTTGTTGTTGTTTCATTTTTTTTTAAGGAAGAATAAGATAAGAGCATATTAGCTTAGGGAATTTCTCTGCATTTTCACCGAATAGACTCAGAAAGAATCATACTTCTACTGACCCCAAAGAAGAAACCGTCAATGTCATCAGGAAATCACAGAAGACAAACAATGACAGCAGGCTTTGAACTTGGAGACAACAACCAACAATGTGCCACTTGTGCTCCAGAACTGGGGATGACAACTTGCACTCAGATCTAAGCACCCAGAACCCTCTTAGCAGCTGAAACTATACACGATGCATAACTCAAGAAGATTAAGAAACTGACAAGTCATTAAACACCGTTGTTTAAAAATAAATTCCCTGGGCAAAGATCACTCTCATTTTTTTTTAATCTGGCATCTAAAAATCAACAAAATATGTCAGGGGAGATAATGAGACTCATTTGCAAAAAAATATATATCATTGAGCCAAAAACAAATACTGATCTAGAAGCAGAAAAACCTGTATTTCACAAAGAAGAACCAGGCCAACCTGTGCCTTGAATTCCCTGTAAGATTCAGATGGAAAGCCTCTCTTCAGAACTCCATAACTCTATTTCCGCCTGCTGTTTTGTCCTTTGAGAATTGTTTCAGGGTATATAATTTACTTTTCTCACTGGGAAATTTTTATCATAAGATTTTTAAAAAACCTAGAAAACTAAAGATTTCAGACACTAAAATGATATATTGCATGAGAAGGGAAAATTTTTATTTCAAATTTAATGCATATATGTTTTTCTAAGCAAAGTGAAGACAGATTCTTTTTTAAGTATCTTATTCAGGGATAGAAAATCTTAAAAGCATCTTTTAAATATAGAGTTTCTCCCTCTACCCAGACCTGATTAATCTGCTATAGGGTCTTAGATAAACATCATTGTGCCTTCAACCTGCACTTTAATCTTTAAATTATTCCAAGGTTACCAAAAAAGGTTAAGAAAAATAAGATCAGTTTCACAATTTGAATCTTCCCTTAGGCAAAAAGTTTTCATTGTCCAAAGCAATCAAGAATTATCAGCTGTCATCCTCATAGGATCAGTTTAAATGTTTTCAGGGCCAAATGTAGTCATAAAGAACACTCATAATCAAATCTCTTGCACTGAATGGAAGTATTCCACACCATGGCTTCCTTTTTCTAAAACTGAAGTTTGTAATGAAAAAGCTAATATTCATCTGCGAGTGTTTCAAATTTTTTAACACTTGCTGTAGGAAAGTATGGTAGAAAGCCTGATCTTAATTTTGTAAAATTTCAAATAATACTATAACTGAATTGTTGAGCATTTCATTATATTACACCTTGTCCTCATGAAAAATTTAATCCCAACAAGAAAACTAATGACATAATGAACTCTTAATTTTATGTAAGTTCAAGTTTCTGGAAAGCTTGAAATCACATGTGGTGACATTCCACAACAAATCTATAACATAGATTTGGGGGATTGAATTTATTCTTGGAAGGTTCTATTTCATATTCTTCGGAATTTTTTGTCTTACTCTGTTATTAATAAGTATATGGTTCTTTACTAAATCAGGAAAAGGTACAGATGGGTATGTATGTATGCAAGTTAAACATTTATTACCTATAAAACATTTTCACTGTGATAATCTTGCTCTATCAAGGACAGAATTTACAATCTTGCACAAAAGGTCTGATTAAAAAGTAATAAAGATTTATTCCCTTTTCCAATATTTATGCATTTAGAATTGTGACTGTTCTAAAAAATGAAAAAAAAACTTATGTACAAACAGAAAACCGGAAAATAAGTTTAAAGATGGCTATGACTCTGGGAACATCCTAGTGAAAGTTCTTCCCTCCAAGAAGAAAAGGCAGAGGTGCAGCAGTAGGTGTGATCTGCTGAGGGTCATACAGCACCCAGCTGAGAATCTAGGTCTCCAGTCGTGTGTGTAGACCTGTGCTCCCTGTCCTATAAATGTTTCTCTGTGGGATTCCTTAACTTGTTTTTAGCATGGAAGTCAAAAATTTTAAGTGTAGCAATAACAACAAATACTTATGTAGAACCTACTGTGTGACAGGCAATGTTCTGAGTGGCTTACATATTAGTTAACATCGTAACATCCTATGATGTAGACACTACATTAGTTCCAATAGAGAAAGAGAGATGGAAACTAAACTCACATATAAGGGTGGTGGACTAGGCTCCACACACAGGTAGTTTATCTAGTGTCTGTGTTCTTAATGAATGTACTCTCCATTTATTGCACGTAATTGAGTTAAGCAAAAATGTTGAATGGGATTTTTTTAAAACAATAGTGTATGATGACAAATTACTGTGCATATTAAAATGTTCAATTCTACATTTAAATACATGCTTTCTATATAGCTTGTCACATAGGCTTACGTTACTACTACACATAAATTGTTAAATACAACATAGAAGAATATGCTCCTAGACTTTCCTTGTACCTAGGGCTGTACCGCACTTCCACTTAACTCCACTCTTTATATGTTGGCCATCTGCCTTGCTCCTGAACCAAAATGGCCCTAGAAATGGCTTACGTTACACAGTACTTATAAAACCTGACTGCTATCACCACAAGCATTCACGAAAGAGAACCCCCTGGGTGTGAGAGACTACACTAGCTGGGCAGTTTTTTGTTTTTGTTGTTGTTGTTGTTGTTGTTATTTGGTACCGGTGATCGAACTCAGGTCTTTGTGCTTGAGAGGCAGGAGGCAGAACCACTGAGCTAAATCCCTGGCCCCTAGTTTGTTTTTCTGTTTTTGTTTTTTGTATGCTTTTGTTTTGGTTGTTTTTGTTTTTTCCTGGCTGGGTAGTTAACAGGCTGGACGGAAGGTGGCTCTGGCTTCCCCAGTGGCTGCTGGGCAGAGCCAGTTAATATCCAAAGGAAGCTTGAAGAAAGGCACTCTAGTGACCACTAAGAGATAGGAGATGCTAGTCTTTCTTCCCCAAGAGGTGATATTCCGTGGTGCATGCGGCCCCTCTGCAAGCATCCACACAGCTGAGCTGTATTGCTGGATTCACAGGGTCAGCTCAAGAACACACTACTTATATCTACCCTCCCTCCTTTCCTGCATCATTTCTCCCTCACTCTTGCTTCTCTGGAATTGTAATACCCTCATTCTCAATAAAGAATTGGCATATAAGCTTTTGGTTTCTATTGTCTAGGGCTAAGATGTATGATCAGTACTTGAGACCAACAATTTCATAAATGAAGCTGGAAGAATGCATCAGTATTCGACAACACTGGCCCACAAAATTCCTCTCTCTTTTCCCCTCTACAACTCAATGGCAACATATTACTCCACAGTTTGGATACCATATACAGCTTTTACGTAGGAGTTAAAGAATTATAAATTTTCTTAAGAAGGAATCATAGATACAATATTTTTATCTAGAGCTATATATTCAATATTTAGGCATTTAAAGGTTCTATTAAATCCATTCAAAGTTTAAATCATGCAGCTATTCATAGGGGGCAGTACATCTTATAGCCAATTCATTCTTTCAGAATTACCAGAAAATTTAATTCTTCAAAGTTAGATATTTGAAGCAATCCGACAGAAGTCCTTTTATCAATGGAATAGTGCTAAATAATATTAGCACATAAGCCATTTTGTCTCCAAATTGATTCTTCCACACTTCACAGTACACACACTGAAATATGCATATATGAACTGGGTACTGGTCAGAGTGCTTTAGCAGACTGGTACCATTGCAGTTATATAGGAGGCACACCCAGGAGAAAATACACTAATCTCTTAGGTTTTTAATTATAGAATCTCAGTTCTTCCACAGGGATACTGAGTAGTGAAGACCCAAGAAATTATCCTTAATAGACAGTAATAGAATCTCAGGGACTCAGAATAAAATTCACCCATGAGCTAGAAATTGGGCATTGGCCCAAGAAGATGCACCTTGTCCATTACCTGAGAAAGGTGGCCCGGAGAAAGAGATCAGTCCCTACCCTTCTCACTTAAGCTCCACCACTGATGACTTAGGCTTTTCAGGGAGTGTAAATCTACATCATAGCAATTTTATTTTCCAAAGACATGCTTCCACTGAAAAATCGCTTTATTTCATACCCTCATATTTCAGGCCAAGGAATAAAGAAGCAACCATACGAATAATAGATCCATGTATGAAGAAAAGTCATAGTTAGAAAAAAAGTGGCCCATTGTGATACCAAAGCGCTTAAATGATCTCAGTAAAGGAAAAGTATTGTGCTCAGAAAAATGAATTTATTTGATTTCAAACATTATTTATCTGTTATTTTTATTACTATTATTTGATCGGGCTCATGAAAAATTTAATGCTTAGTAAAATAGTTGCAATAATTAACTTTTGAGGTAACTGGTAAAATAATTTCTTTCCTTTCAATTAGTTCTGGCTCTTTATTTAACTGTCTTTTAAAAATTTTTAATAGTGAAAAAGCCATAAATCTAAAAATAATTAAGTATGCAATAGTTATTAAATAGTTATAGGAAAAGCATATTTATATTATCTTATACATAAAACAGAGAACTAAATTACTAATTTAAATTGGAAAATACTTCTTATTTCAGCCTTATTTTATTTAATTGTTACTGGGGATTGGACACAGGCCCTCCATATTGAGATACATGCCCAGACCCCGTTAAAAATTTATTATCTTGGGATTGAGTCCAAGGCCTCCCTACATTGCCCAGGTGGGACTCAAAAAATGTGATTCTCCTGCCTCAGCCTCCCAGAGGGCTGGGATTACAGATGTACATCACTTTATTAAGCTTTCCTGTATTCCTCATGGAAGATTTCCTTTTAATATCAAACTTAACATATCTACTTATTTTCTTTCCCAATGTCTGTATTGAATACCAGTAAAGAATTTAAGTAATAACTGCAACAAATATTAACCATCAACTAGTAAAAGCAATAAAACTCACCATGTATTTTATGTTCTGTACAAACTTCTTTAACATAATTTGATATAAGAACTATTAAAGCTGCCAAATAACCCTTCAGATTCACAACTCCTATGAAAATGTTCACTATTAGACTGTACAAGTTATGTCACACCACAGACATATTAGTGTAAAAAGTCTAGTAAATTTTAAAAAATGTAATAACCCAAATGTCTGCTTAAATTTTTCAGTGGTCTTACTGGTATCACATAAACAGTCTCTAGATGAGTATCTTCATAAATGATTGTATACAACTCGTTTTCGACAGTGGATTCTTTCATATTGCTTTCTCTCGGAGCATATATGTTACAGACTACCACCTTATAAAATGAGTCATGAATAATAAGTTGTAAGTCCAGAATCCCATGAAGATCAGTGGAACAACTGGTTGGTTAGAGAATGAAAACCTCCAAATTTGGTCTACTGTGTCACACTTACAAATATGTGGCAATTATTAGCGACTTAAAAATCACGTCATATGCAGCTGACCTGCGCCCCCTATTTTGGGATTACAGCATTTCATCACGATGTAAACTTGCCCATCATTCTAAATCCAAAGGCAGCACTTTCTCTCCAGTCGGGCGGCACACCTCCCCTGATTTTTACCCTTCGCTTGTCCTGAATTCTATACTCTGCTTGCTGAGATTCCACTGTCAGCACTTCCCAGACCTCTTTCTGGAATAAGGAGCCTTTTCCCAAGTCACCAAATTGGATCCTATTTACCAAACTGGACTTGCTTCTAGATTTCCCTAAAACTTCACGCTTCTTTCAAAATAAAGTAGTTTTCTTGACAAATCCTCCTCGGCCTGTCCTGCCCTATCCACCCTTACTATGTGTCTCAATAGATTCAAGAGGCACGAGTATTTGAGTATTTGTATTAACCAGGTGACCAGACCTCTGGTGATATTAGAGGTTCTTACACATTTTAATCCTTCAACAATTCACAAGAATTCCACCTAAAATAAAAATAAAAATCTATCAAGTTATCACTGGGCCCATTATTACATTATTACTTAACATTATGTTATTATGTTATCAAGTCATGGGCCCATAAAGTGTTATTAAGTGTTGTGTCCACTGTGTCCCAATCACCACTGTATGCATCAGATTGGAACTGTGTCAGGCAGTGTTTTTATGCATTCTGTTTCTAAAATTTACAAGGTTCAGGAAATATTGTAGGAACAATATGTTCTTCCAAACATAATAACGAGCTAAACAGTATAATTTGTGTCTCCTAAATAATTTAGTCTGAACTTATTTTAGCAGCAAATATCCCATTTTTTAACAGGAGAAGTAGAGTAGTTTTCATTTACAGACTAGAAAACTTTGTTTTTGGTGGTGGTATGCAAGCCCCCTCCCTACCAAAGGCCTCATAGGAGGGCACTGTCTACCTGAGATGTTTACAATCAATTTTCCTAAGAAATAGTGTGATAAAATGAAGTTTACACTCAACATACAAATTATAATTCTTGATCGAAATGTTTTCTTAGAAAATAAATCTCAGATCAAATATTTAAACCATGAAGAGACAGAAATAGTCATGTGGTTCTTCCCTTTAATAAAATGCCAACATCAATACTGAAATCACGGTGTATCATCTATGGGTACTAGTAGCACAATGAAAAACAGACTTCCGCAGAATCCAACTAGCAATACCATTTACCAGGTCTGTTTTCAAGTAACAAGACTGGCATAGAAAACATCAAGAGGGATGAGACCAAAAAAAATCCCTAAATAAGCATTCATCTGATAAAGGGCTGGGCGGTTTTATCCAGTATAGTCTGCGGGTCAAAGTTTTCACGGAGGGGGATAAAATTTCAAAATATGATTCATTCAAATTGCAAGAAGAATAAACCAAGAAAAGGATACTTAAGAGACCAATTGCTTTGGAGCTACAGACGTCTAGAAAGATTTTCAAAACCTTTTGTCACAAAAGAGTCCAAGATGTTGGGTCTAACAAAGGTAAATGTCACAAGAAACCAAAACTCAGACCCAGACAAATACACACATATACATAGTTTTACCTTGCTGCGTTGGGATCCTGTGACCTTAAGGAAGGGGTGAGGACAAGAAGCAAAATAGCAATAAACAATTGCTCTGAACACAACCAAGAGACCATAAATGGTATGTGCTTCAGGAAAACAATATCATTTGCTGTATGTAGCTCACTCTTATTTATTTGTATCCTAACATACAGACGGATTTGAGGCTAGAACACACAGTTTACACAGGAAATTAATCTTATGGGATTTTCCCCAGCCAGCAATAGTCATGCATCATTTTCAAAGTAGTTTGTTTTCATATTTTTTCACATACTAACTTCAGTGCTGCAGGAATGCAGATAAAAGTTGTTCCAGTAAGTGGCACTGATTGCTTTCAGTTCATTCTTTGGCTACACATTTTTGTGGGTCCACCCTAATTAAAGATTCCTTGCTGGCTATTGATATATTTCCAGATTTCTAGCTCAAAGTCCAGCCATGTAAATTAATAAGAAAAAAAAAAGAGTCTAATCTAACCCATTTCCTTCACTCGATTTCTTTCTGAAAATTCTAAGAAAAAAAGCCAATAAATAAGAAAAGTAATAGCAATAAATAGCGATTCTCAGAAAAAAGCGAAAGTACACTCAAAGCAAGGGGAGAACAGTATTAGCCTTTCTTCCAGCTAATTAACACGAAGCAGCATTTCACATTCCATGAGATATTTAAAGGCTGAGACTACTTAAGAAAGTCATCATGAAATAGAATTGAATCCTAGGAACAGATGCTCTCCTACCTCATGCACGCAAACTGCATCCCGCATCATGTGCCAACACCTACATATGTGCAGGGAATGAGTGACCCAATCGGGCAGAAATCAAGAGGCCAAATTGTTTTCAACTTTAATTCAGGAAAAGGAATACCAAACCGAGGGTACGATTAAAAGGTTAACGCCAGGTGGCTCTTCCATACATATTTTCCACACGCATCGCTTCGAAATTCCAAACATCACTGAGACACAGCAGTCTGAAGCAACTTCGCCTCTCAGCGAGCTCGGGAACACTCATTCTCAACACATGGGCTCTCCTCTATCGTTCAGCTACACTATGCTCCCCGGTCTTAACCTCAGCAAACGCTAGGACTCGGTTCTGTCCACCCAGCTCTGACATGCAGTTCCTCGACACAGTAAGCTGCGACAAGCCATGAAGCGAGGAACATAAAGGTCTGTTACGAGCTATGAAACAATGTTCCAACACAGAGCAAAAGCGATTCGAGGAGGGTTCATCTTACTTCGAAGCTCTTCACTTCTTCTTCACTATCATCATCCTCTTCCTCATGACAACTCTAAGGCAGGGGTAAAACAGAAAAGGAATGAGAATACGGGGGGCTGAGAGCACACGAGGCGCATTTCACATAGAAGACCAAATAATCTGCATGATTTATCATTAACATCGCTTCAGTACATCCGTGTCAGACAGAATACGTAAGACACGATCAATAAATTTAGGAACCACAAGAGAATTGTAATGTATACTTTGTGCTTTTATCAACATAAAATATAACTGCCCATTTTATACATAGCGAGATAATTACAATGTCCATATGATACTACACATACTATTTATTTATGCATTGCCTTTGTTCAAACCAAACTACAAGCCCTAAAGAGGATTCTGCCCTCTTTTTTTTTTTCTTTTTATTGAGTTTACTGGTACATTTTAGATATACAGCACAGTTACATTCATCATTGGGATCTTGTACCTTTACAGGACAGGTCTCGGTTCTCATTTTTTCCCCTTGTCCCTGCTCTCCCTTCACCCCCTCCTCCCCTCCCCATTTACAAACACTTTATTTCCATTTTTCATTTTCTCATATTTTTTTCTTTTCCCTTATTACCCTTCCCCTACCCTTCCCACTTTCCCTACACCTTTAGCCCCTTTCTTCCTATTTCACATTGTCCATTAGGATCTTATGTACCATTATAGTTTTTCACACAAGAGAAACTATTCAGTATTTACACATGTGACATTTATTTCACTTAGGAGTATATCCTCAAAATGTATCCATTTTCCTATGAATGACTCTAATTTCTCATTCTTGATGGCTGAGTAGTATTCCATTTTATAGAAAAACCACATCTTCTTTATCCAGTTTCCAACTGATGGGCAAATGATGCGCTCTTTTTTTATGCTGCCATTATAATGCACTAATACAGCTGATCCATGTAATAAACATTAATTAAAATGAAAAGGGAGCAGTGCCCATTCGTTAAAGTGATCTTGTAATTTTTAAGTTAATTTTTATTGTATTTGCCCCAGAGGAAGAAAATGAAATTGTTACTGACTTTGTTCTAGTTATACATAAAAGCAATAAAACTGACTATTCCATTCTTTTCCCCAGAAAGGATTAAGGAGGTATACTAAGCCATTCAGGTGTTCTTATCTAATTCACACCACTGAAACTGGCTTGCTAAGAAGGTGAGGTTTGCCAGGGGACATGGGCTCAAGAGACAGGGTGTCTGGCCCACCCCTGATGAGCCTGTCTATGCATTATAAGTCACTTCATCTCTCTGTCTTTCTGTCTTCATATTTAAGATGGGAATAAGAGAAACATCTGGATTCTGAAAAGGATCAATTGAGTTAATATCCATAAAATGTGTGCCACTTGAGAAAAAGTACTTGAAAAATAATAAGATTTTTTGTGCTTTTCATAAACCTCACTGCTACTATTATGCTTTGGGATGTGGAGTGTAATGGTGACCAAGGAATCTGGTCCTTAACTAACGCCTATGGTAGGAAGAAACAGTCTTTCAAGTGGGGCCGTTTCAACCCTTTTAAGTTATTACTTATGTTTGGGAAGAGACAAACGGGGAAGTCTAAGTTGTAAATCAGAAAAATACTTTAACTCAGTGAGTCACCGCGCTTTGGGAATGGAGATGAGAGAGACCAGACCATATAAATGACGATTCCCCAGTGATAAACTCTAAGAGCTCTGTCACATTCCTTCATTCGCTCAACAAACATTTATGGCGCTCACAGTTTTCATTTAGAATAACAGGCACGGGGACATGGTTTGTAGAGGAGGAAATAAATACAGGTGGAGACACAGACTTGTAACAGTTTTGCCATGAGGGTAAAGTGACAGACTTCTATGGACTGGCACCAAACTCTAATGGATCTCCAGCAACTGTGTGATGCACTGAACAGAAATATAAGGATCTGAAGGCACAGGATAATATTCTTCCAGTTACAAACTGCATCCATGTAGCATACACAAGAATGCTAAGCAAACAGGGAATTACATTAGTTCTGAAGAGTGGGACCAGGCTTCATTTAAATTATGAAGCATTTCTTTAGTGGTGAAACCACTCCATCAGAGTAAAGCAGCGTCAGACACTGGGGAAGGGAGGGTAGGTAGTGAAGAGACACCCCGACAAATCAAACCAGGGTGATCATGATGAAGATGCCAAAGGATGTCTCAACAGTAAACGTAAACCAAGGGGCAAAAATAGAGTGACAACACATTAATGCATACACTGAGATTCTTTGGTATGAGTTCCTTCACACTGGAGGTATCTGTCATGGACATGACAATTGTAATAATAGGCACAACAAGAGAAACAACAACAAATTAACCTAAAGTTTAGAATAAAGTATGACTTCAAAAATACAAAGATATTTGGGGCTGGGGATTTAGCTCAGTGGCACCACACCTGCCTCACAAATGCAAGTCCTGAGTTTGACCCCCGGTACCAAGGAAAAAAAAAAAGATTTTAAAAGATTTTTCAAATTCTCAATAAAGCAAGGAACAGCATATGATTTAGAGCAGATGCTATAGTAATAGTAAGATGGAAGACATAGAACTATTCATCAGCGTTGTTTCAGAATTTCTACCAAACAAGAATGATTTTTAGATACAGATAAGTACCTAGCCAATAAAATGAAAATAAATACCCAATTTAATATTTATTTGGCTGGCAAAAATCAATGAGTCATATAAAATCAAGTATTAGAAAGAATATTGACTCTCGGAATTTCTCTTAAACATTATTGCCAAAAATATAAATTGATGTTCTAACTTTGGAAAACAGTTTGATATTTTCTCTTTAAGCTGAACATTCACAGGTCTTATAGCTCTTGAGTCTTGGCAATAGGAGACATCATCTAAGAATATGAATTTCAATAACTGTTCACAGTAACAAAAATATGATGCAACACAAAAATCCAAGAAGAAAAAATTAAAGCCAGGCCTACTGGCCCATGCCAGTAATCTCAGTACTCTGGGAGGATGAGGCATAAAGATTGCAAATTCTAGCCCAGCCTGGGAAACGTAGTGATACCCAGTCTGAAAGCAAAAACAAAAATGGCTGAAGATATAGGTCAAGGCAAAGAAGACCTAGGGCTCGGAAAGAGGGAAGGGAAGGGAAGGGAAGGGAAGGGAAGGTGTGGACATTGAGGGAACACGACACTTGGAACAGAACAATGGCCTTGGCTCAATGGGTGGAATAAACAGAAGTGGTATAGAGTGCCTGGCTGGCCCTGCCCAATGTCCCTGAATGGGATATACTCGTAAGGGAAATAAACAAATCACACATGTGCAAATACCGAATAGTTTCTCTGGTGGAAGGAAGGAAGGAAGGAAGGAAGGAAGGAAGGAAGGAAGGGAGGGAGGGAGGAAGGAAGGAAATGAGAAAGAAAGGAAGAAGCCAGCCCGCCCATATGCTCTGGGCTGGTAAGTGCACAACTAGAAAGCTGTTCAGTTAGTCCCTGGGTAGAAAATACTGATAAACCGGAGCACAGAGAATGAACTGAGAGATCCAAGCCTGGCATTCCTTGGATACATTGAACAGAAAAAGGCATGAGATTATTTTGTTATGAAGAGGAAGCTCTTGAGAGAAAAGGAGAACATCATCAAATATTTGACCATCTATGGATAGTTGAGACAAAGCTTTAAGAAACAGCTAAAGAAAATGTGAAGACAATCTTCAATCACAAAGAAGAACTTTAGTAATCAGAAATGGTCTTTTCTCAAACTGGGAGCTTCTCACTTTTTTGTTCACATGCTCATGAGTTCTTAGGCAGCAAAGGACACCCAAGCAGTAGGTGCAAAACCCCTCAGATGCGGGATCCTCAACAGTGGTCCGGCAAAATTCCACCTGATGCATCTAAGGACAAACCTTTCTTGAACTTGTACTTGGTTTTGAGAATTGGTAGAAAGAAAGAAGCCACATGACCAAGAAGACCACTGTGCCACAAATCTATAGAAAACAACCTGAGTGAGGCTTTCTATTCTGTCTGGAATCCTTTTAAAATTCTAGTCAATACACCATGCCAACTGGCACAGTATCTCTTCTTTCAGCTCTTCAATCTCCTACCTTCTAGTCCAGAGTCAGCCTCAGCAGGTAACTGTCCTTTATTTAAGGAGAGAGCAGGTGATGTTTCAGCTTGCCCTTATCCTGCTGGGCACCCACCCCTTCTTCCTTTCCATTACAAAGGAAGAAGACTTCTTTCTATCTTTGAACTCCATGTTTGTTAACTATAGTTTTTAACCCAGTAACTGGACATACAATCAATGTAATGGTCCATGATCTAAAAACAATTTTTTGTTTAAATAAGATATCAGATTGTAACACTCATAAGAAGAGTATGATTTCATGAAACTTTTCTTTCAAGGTATGAATTTTGTATTTCTCTAAATATACTGGGTAAATATACTTCTTCTGTGTGTTAAAATAAAATTAGAAAGCCCCAGCATTTCCTTTTCCATGGTTGTTACTACTCCTGGCCTCACTCCAGATTATCCTCTTGTCTGTTCTAGGAGCTTCTTCCCACTAGGGGACAGATGTGCTTAGATTTCCCTTTTAAAAAACTGAAAAAAATCAATGGCAAACAAACCAAAATAACTCCCCTTTTATGTCACTGTTCTATCTGGACATTGGCCATTTTGTATCTTTCATCTCCTCAGTTTCTCTGCGTAGGAATGTCTAATCACACCTCACACCTAAAGCCCTACTTACTTTCCACAATCCAGCACTTGTATGCCCTAGGGCCCTTCTCCACAGTCCTCTGACACTGTGTCACCACCCCACACACACGCACATGCACACACTAATATCTCTCCATTTTGTGTGTGTGTGCGCACACATGCAGGTGTATGCATATGGGCTCTTAATCTTCTGACCCTTGATCTTACAAGGTGAGTCCAAGGCCGTCTTCTCTTTCATGCTGTCTTCTCTTCTGGGGTTAGATCATCATCCACCCCTATGGCTTCAGTGGCCACTAGTGTTACTGAATCCCAAATCTGTACTTAGAAACCTTATCTGAGACACTGAATGTGAGACATTATATCCAATCACATGATTGAAATCTCCACTTAGATGTCTTACAAGCCCCTTTAACATGTCCAAGATTTAACTGGCTCTCTTCCCTCTTTACCAAATACCCGTAATCATTCGGGCGATCCCTGGCCCAGTATATGGTACATAAATCAGCAGCCCCAACAAAACCTTGAGTCTTCTTTTCCACCCATCTCCCTACTCATCCTTGTCTTAGGAGCAAATCAAATAAGCATTCAGTCGTTACAGCAAGGTTCAGTCATCCTTCACCAATCAAGAGCTCCCTTAAGCAGGCCACACCACTGTGTTATATAACCTATTTCCAACATCCCCAGTAATTCTTCTACTATTTATCAGTTTTAAAATAATCACTCATTTAAATTTTGTCTTCGCATCAGATTAAGTCTAAAAAGTAATGTGCACATTATTTTTTTTCTCATTCACCATGTTGTCTTCAGTACTTTCATATGCAGTATTTGTTGAAGGAATGTTTGGAAAGTTGATAAGCTCTCAATACGTAAAAAGTTAAAATAAAAGCAAGGCTTATCTGTCCATAGAGCACAGATTCATGCAACAAATGAAAAGCTGAGATCTGTGTGTCTTTTGCTTCTAAAATTTAACATTTTTCTTTAATTTAAAAATATGTAGATTCTTATCCTTTGTCAAATGAAAATTATTTCCCTTTATTAAAATAAAGCATTAAAAGTAAGAAGAAAAGGGATGGCAGGGGTATGGGGAAAAAACAAGAACCAAGATAAACCATATAAAGGTACAAGATCCCAATGTTAAATGTAACTATTGTTTGCTTTAAATGTACCAATAAACTTAATGAAAAAAGAAGAAGAAAAAAAAGTAGGAAGAGTATTTACTTACTTTTGCCATAATATCTGCATAGGCCATATATAAAAAATCTTCCTCCAGTTTGCTATGAAAAACAAGAAAAAAAAAACCCATAAATTCTTAAGAAGAAAGCTATTCACATATGGACATACCATCATTGTATAAAATAATTTTTGCTCACAAATATTCTTTTAAAAATTAAAGAAATAGCAAATTTAGATAAGAGTAATTATTTAAAAATGTTAGAATAAAAAAAAATTTAAAAAAACAAGTACTCCTAACCAGCCATCCCTCCTTACCTTCCCAAAGAGGCTTCAAGTCTTGGAAAATAAATGGTCTATTGATTTACACAGAAATGTAATGAATTTAATTTTCTTCAAACTACAAAATTTGAAACAAGCAAATTTAAATAATATATGAGCTTTCAACAGCAGAAGTGATATCTGACATCTGATGGACTTTCCAAATTAGTGTTATAGTTTTAAACTAAAATGTCATAATGATGATTCTTAAAAACTGAGAAAGGGCAAAATATACTATCTTCTATTTAAAGAAGTATGGAAATCATTGATACATGAAAAACATTTCCATCAAAAAATATCTAAAATCTGAAAAGCTATTTTAGCAGTTTTAACTTTAGCTACAAGAAAAATTTACTTATGAGAAGTACCTCATTACCTGACAATGGCAGAGTTGCTCTATGCTTAGGGATGAGATGGTTTGGTTAGTTGGGAAGTAATAAGAGAGAAATGGTGAGATAGGATGGATCACAGGGAGAATGTACATTGTTACGGCATGCACAGCGATCACATGAACTCCTCAGGGATTCTGGGAAGACTCATGTGGCTACGGACTGATAATTAAATCATCTGCCTAGTTCTGCAGAGAACAGGCAGGATCTGGAGCAGAGCCGGCTTTCACAAAGAAGGGGAGCAGGTAAGGGTTCTCTGCAACGTCCCATGTGTAGGGCCAATCACTGCAGTGCTCCTCTAGCAAGCAGAAGCTGGGAGATTTGTCAGTCCTAAGAGTACCTTTCTTCTTTGACTCTGTAAAAGCTGACCCTTTGTGGCTTTGGTGCATTTGTATGACTAAGACTACACGAGGGAAGAAAAGTAGGCAACATCCTCTGAAGAGCTCTCAGAGCTACTCTTAAGTCGAGATGACAGCTCACCCAGTCCCTAAAGGCCTCCTAAGTTCCCTCACAATGCACACACAATCTACCAGGAAATCCTGGCGTTACCACTGGTCTCCATACAGTTTTGGCACGGGCATATTCTTTGGTTTCTTGTATTAATAAAAACTATTTATAAAAACATAGTTTCATTAAGAAGAAATGGACTCAACTAAATCAGCTAATCATAAAGTTGTAAAGAAAATCAGAATTTACAGGAAGCCACTAATGGATGAAAATGAGTGAACGCTGGCCCAGGGCGAGAGACAGATCTCCAAACAGCCTTCTCTTCTGACAAGGGTCAGATGACACTGAAACGCGAGTACATGACACAGAAGACTCAGACACCAATTTCTTTATTTGCCGTGCCTATGTACCACACAAACCCTTTCAACCATACCATTTCTCGGTTAAAGCCGTGCGACTAAACAGGAGGATCAGCTGGTGCAGAGGATCAACTCTCTTACTGGCTTCATCTTCTTCTTGAGGTTCGGCCCCAGGTTTCTACAAAAAAAAAAAAAAAAAAAAAAAAAAAAAGTTTTACAA